TTGGAGCTTATTTGCTCTCCAATCCCCCCCAGCTCCTGCCCGGCTCCCGCTGAACCTCGGCTTAACGCAAAGCCGGGGCGCAGGGTCCTGCGGAGACAGCGGGAGGCAAAGCCCTGGGGAGAGACGTGGATCTGGCACACGCCAGGAGCCGACAGGGACCTCGGAGCTGGGGTGGAAAAGCTAGAATCAAGCGGCCACGAGGCCCTGAGGAGTCACCAGCGAATGGGACGGACCGAACTGAAGTCACTCTGGATTCACGCCCAATACCCCTCCGCACTTGGATGGAAGCAAAGCCCCTTGCTTTCAAGGGCGAACGTCGTGCTGGCGGCTGGCCAGGGAGGCAGCTCAGCACGGCGAGGGCCCAAGGGGAAACGAAACAGGGTAGCGCCTGCCTGCGTGAAACGGCACGGCGCTGGAGGCTCCTCAGTCACCGTGGAGCGGAGCCGGAGCCAGGGCTTTGCCAAAAATGCTCCGGCATCCCCGAGGAAGGCGCTTGGCGACGAGCTATGTCTCCCCACCGCTGTGGAGGGAGCCGCAGGGACTGAGCCCCCCAGACCTGCCTCTAGCGAGGGTTGAGATCCCTCGGATCGCAACGCTGTCGGCAAGCACAGCACTTCCCGACCTCCCCGACCAGCAGCTTGGGATCCCCCAAGGGTCCGGGCAGAAATTCATTCCCAGGAGCCGCGGGGAAGACTCAGGGAGCCACAGCCCTGCTCTGCCCGGCATCAGGGGCTCGATCCACCCCAGCAGCGGCCGGGCTAAGGGAGGTTGTGAAGGGCTGCCCGCACCCTCCGTCACTTAATCTCAAGGTTAGCGCAGCTCAGCGCTGGAGAAATGGGGGAAGTTCCCTCTCCTCCCTCTCTGTTTTGACCAGGGTGCCAGGTTTTTATTCCCCATCGCTCCTCCCGAGCCAGCAAAACAGAGCGTGTTCCCATCAAACACCCGCGGGGAAGCCTCGCTCACAACACAGGTTTCCACCTGCTGCCGTACCCAAAAATTCCCTAAACAACCCACTTTTGAGAAGCCACCATCCCTGGGGCCCCGCTCGGACCTGGAGGCCACTGTCCCCTCTGCCGCAGCTCCCCGCGGGGTGCTGCCCTGCGGCCCACGGCACCGGCCGGGCCGGGCGGGGCCCC